GTCTTGAAAGAAGGACTGTTGAGATCCAGATTTCTTGTTACCATGGTAAAGTGATATCACGCTTTTCTCAATTATTTGTAGGGGACAAAGATAATATATTCCATTTTATCTGCGAACAGTTTATTCTTACAACATTCAACTGTCTGCGCTATTGATATTTTTGTTTTTAAAAAGGTTTTTTCATTTTGCAGATTTAACTGATGATTATCTTTTTAAAGTGAATGCACAATAAAATGGCCAATGACTTAATGTATGTCCCCTCTCTTTTCTAGGCGCAGCAGCTACCACGAGCTAAATACCAGTTGTTTGAATCACTTCCACAAGATTTAGTAGAGACAGGTGATGATAATATTGACATATTTACTTTGACCAACATTCTGGTTATTCTCTTGCTTCTTTAAGTCTCTGGTACTTGTGGCTCTCAAGTTCTCTTAGTTTCCTTTGCTCTGTGGCTCTCTGTTATGCCTGGTTTTCCTGATTCTCATCGTTAGTATTTCTCATGGCTCTTCCTGTTATCCTGGTTCTTGTACATGTAGTTCTCCTGGGTTTTGAGATTCTCCACAACTACATGAACCAGTCTCTGAGGACTACAAGAACCACAGAAACAGGGGACCGACGAATCAGGATGCCAATAAAAAGTAGGAAAGCATTTTAAATTCCAGAATCAGAAGAACCGATAAGACCATTGAGACCCCAAAAAATTAATGATGAAACTGATGAAAAACTTGTGTGACCATTCAAAAGAGACCTCTTCAACTGTAGTTTCACATGGCACCACACTAAAGAACTAATGGTTTTTTTTCCACATTTACATGTAAAAACTCTTTAAAAATGAAATTTGAAATTTTTGTTGAATTGGACACTTTGGTCACTTCTTGAAAAGAAGGGGTTTATCATATTGTTAGGCTTTAATTACAGCAGCTTTGCCCCCCCTCCCCCTTCCTTTAATACAGAACCAAGTGTCCACTTTACAGAGGTGTCTGCTTTAATTTTTGAGGTAAAGTAATATGCATCAAGTTAGATGTCTTTAAGCTATGTGCAAATGGACATAACAACTCCCAACATTGTTGGCCCAACAATGTTGAGAGTTGTTGTGTCCATTTGCACACGGCTAAAGGTTTGACCAGTTTCAAACTTTGTGCAACAACTCCCAACAACATCGCAACAACATTGCAACAACATGCAACAGGGTGTGCCAATGGACTCAACATGTAACATTCAACAATTAATGTTGGGAACTGTTGGCCGACAATGTTGCAGCTAGGCTTTAGGATGAAGAGACCTTATAGAGGTGTTTGCATGGAGGGGTTTGATCATATTTTAGGTGATAATTTTGTAATAATATCGATAAAGAGAAAAGTTGATAAGCCTATATTTTTTGTTCACATCAGGCAAACTAAGTGATTTGCAACTGGAAGGAGTTTTGTATGCTGTAAGTATAATTAATAATGTCGCATATCATTTTATTAATATCAAGAACTCTGTCAACATTTGTTAGCTTTTATATTGCTCTATCTTCTGTCCACGTAAAGCATTTAAAATATGTGAAAAAAGATGGATTTCCGGCCAAAAATAAATTCGTTACAAAATAGGCCCTTCTAGCTGGTGATGTGTGGTAGCAAAGAGTGTGTTAATGCACAGTCATGGTCTTTGTACTCTGATTTGCTTCCCCGCTCAAATGAATATAAAACATTTATCATGTAATAAGCATGCAACCACTAATGGGGTGTGTCAACACCAGTCGTGTGTGACCCTCTTTATTATGCCTAATTCATCAACAAAATGGATGGGAATGATACAACAAACAGAATGAAAACTGTGAAATGTACAAAATACAGCAAGAAAACCACCCTACAAAACGATCTAAATTATGCTCATTATGATGATGCCATAAACATGCTATAAACCTTTCATACAGCAGCATGCAAAAACTGTGTCTAAGAGAAACTGATAACCCCTAGTCGCTGGGTATTTAATTTTGATTGCGTAGGGACGGTCGTAAGATGCAAAATGAATAAGTGACAACAACTCAAATGTATATAGCCTACCGCTAATGAAGCTATTATTGTAACAGCATACCATGTAACACCCCAAAGAAACGGTTGCATAACCCTGATAAATACAGTGAGTAATAAAATCAAGTTACCCAGCATGAAAAATTCATTTTATAAACTGCTGTTGATTTTTAGTGTCAAAGACATCAAATGGTCCTTGCCAATGGACCAGGCGGTGTGCGTCACGAGATTTAACCAATCAGAATGCGTTATTTTCGGAGTAGATTTCGTGCTCGAGAAGAGCAGTTTTGAGAGGTACACGAGTTGAGATTTTCGTCGTTTTTGAAGATTGTAATCATTTTTTCTTAATCAAAATTCGCTATAAAGTTAGCGAATTAATTTATCTTAGTGCTGGTGCAGTTATTTTTTAAGAAGAAACGTTTATTCGGCTTTGCGACCATTTCAAAGGTGACGGTCTCGTGTGAGACGCCATGTTGTTTTGGTTGTAAATTTCACTGCTTTTCTTGGACTTGTAGCTCCTTACTGTTATTGATTGTTGTCAATATTTTCGGTCCGTTAGTGAGTTTAAGTAGTCTTCTTTGACAATTTCGGGGTCTACCCGGGTCTACCCCGTCGGGTTTTCCCGCTAGAGGCCGTGGAGGACACACTGGTATGAAGAGATCGACCCAGCCAAGTGGCTCCACTCCCGGGAAACCGGCTGGTAAAGTCAACAGAACTGGAGGTCAAAATAACATCAAATCGAGAAAGAATTTGTTTAATTTCAAGCCAGAAAAGGTAAAAAGAGTCGAATTACACGAATTCCTTCTGATTTTGTATTTGAGTCAGTTAAATGGTCTTTTATAAGATACTTATTTGTCATTATTGAAGAATGTTTTTCACGTGTGAATAAATTATACATGTACAAATGTAGCCTCCAACAAGAGATTGGCCAGTATCCATAGATTGTGGATTAGAATCCATTATTTCTTGTAGTTTTACTCAGATAACATTAGCAGTAATTTTATGTTTTCACACTCGCACTGTGATGAAATGAAACATTTGACAAAATTTTAAAAAAAAAAAATCATAAAATAAAGTGTGGCTTTAGAGATGTTACACCAGCCACCTCCACCACAGGGTTTATCAAGGATGTCTTTTGTTTGTGTGTTTATATGTAGGTTTACTTATGTTACCATTTATTTAATATCTTCAAGGTCCCTCATCCACCTCAGTCCCCAGTTTGGTCTGTGGAGGAAAGGCGAGCATTGGTTGAGTATATTGCTCTATTTACCCCAGTGGAACAAGATCAATTGTTTAAATGGCCTTCTTTCAAAGACATCAATTTCTGGGAAAAATGTGCAGATGCTCTGGCCTGTACAACTGGAATGCCACGACGATCAGGTAAACATATTTCACTCCAGGCCGTAGTAGGGCATAATTTTTGGTCGGCAGGATAATAATTATATGCAAGAGGTTTGTCCCCAGTGGCGGTGGTGATAATGATGATGATATTGATGATGTCTGGGTTGTTTGCTCTTAGTCATTCAAAACATCAGCTTTTGAATACATTGATAGTGTGCGATCTCCCTACACAACTCAACTAGTTATTTTATACAATGTAATAACTCTGTAATGAAGAGATTATAACATAGTGGAGCAGGCCTGATAGTGGTTTGTCTTAAAATAGGGTGGAGGGAAGGTAGCAGTTGCTGAAGGTTTTAGTTCAAAAGGAACTTACAGTGGCTTACAGTAAGTGAGGTGAAACAAACCGATTTATATTTTCTTTTCTTTTCAGGGAGTGCATGCCGTTATCAGGTCAACTCCTTCCTGCGTAAAAGGTATGCAACACTGGAGGAAGCAGAAGATGACCTCCAGGTCAACTATTTTAGTGGTGGATTGCAAGACATTCATTATGAAAATTCATCAACACTAACATCTCCTGGGAATGTAAATTCGACTCCACAGGCGATGCTTGAGAAGAACACCCCATTATCTCCAATATTGGCGCACTCTCCACATGCCAATTCAACAAACCATGAGACATACAATCATGGAGATACCATTGCCAAGGTTATTAAACTGTTGACATTGATGACTTCGCGTATGAGAGGGACTTGATCCAGAACTTATTTTGGCAGTTCATGTTTTTAGAACTTGATCATGATTTTCGAGCATTTATTCCTTCTGACTTTATTAAACTATGCTGCAAGGGCATTAATGTACTTCATAGCAATGGCAAAGAAAATGTTCTTTATTACTTGGCCAGGGGACTTGGAATGTCACGGAAAGATGGTTCAGGTCCACGGCTCCCTATTGACAAGATGCCGTTTGGATTATTAAGCTACAATATTCGCTATTTTGCTATGGACACTGTGAACAACATTTCATCAGACCCCCATTTTGTGGAGTGGGAGACAACTATGTTCTCCAACTTTGGTCATAAATGGATTTGCTTACAGAGGGGACCAGGGTTTGCCTATGATGAGACTGTTGTTGATGATTCCTCAGCTGCAGCTTGTAATAGCACCAGCAACACAAACAGCAGTGAGCAAGGTTCCTCAAGTATCCTTCAACAAGCATGGAATGAAACATTTCAAGTGGGTACCCAGAATGGGGTACAAGATGAGGTTGAAGACCAAGATACCACTAGAGAGAAAGTTGGGGCAGATGACTGCCTTGATGTAGAAACCCTTGTTGACACAGATGACCCTCTTGAGGTTGGAGCCATTGTTCAGACAGGAGATGGGATTGAGGTTGAAACTGTTGTCGAGGCAGGAGACCCTCTTGAGGTTGGAACCATTGTTGAGGTAGGAGATGGGCTTGGGGTTGAAACAATTGTTGAGGCAGGATATGGGCTTGAGGTTGAAACCCTTGTTGAGGCAGAAGACGAGCTTGAGGTGAACGACCAGGTCAATGAAGAAGTGAGCTACCTTTGGGCACGACTTGGTTCTGAAGAAAAAGAACAAATTGCAAACGGCGATAGACCAATAGAACTGGAAACATTTCATGGTATTCGCCCACAGGCACATAAAAAAAAAAAGGACAGAAGTGGATCCGATGAAAGCTAAAGTCAATGTTGCAGGTCATTCTGTAAGGACTCTTCAACGTCGTATACAGGCTGCTGAGTTTTCAAGAGACACAAATGTTCAGGTGAGTGCACATATGATTAAATAGATATGAAATATATTTGAAAAACATATATATATATATAATTATACTCCAAGAGCTAGGTTATTCGAACATTTACTGCAACTCTGAGTTTCATGCTTCTTGCGAAGCAATCTTCAGGCAACAAAAAATGTAAATGTTCGAATAACCTAGCTCTTGGAGTATAATTATTCTTAGCTCTAGCTCTGCTATTGAGCACTTTATAGTAGATGAGGATTTCTTTCCACTTGTTATTCTTTTTTTCTTGCTAGGTCGCTGTTCTTAAGAAGATTAAAGAAAGAAACAAAAACGGACGTTGGTGGATTAAAGCAGATGCATGTGACCTGCGAAAGGGACTGCGTGAGTCAATGCGTCATGAGTGGGCAGGAGATTGTGACCTGGGAGATGGAAAGCTTCAAACTTTATATCAGGAATACATGGACAGAAAAACCTTCTATGGTGGATTAGGACTTAAGGATCGAAGAGTAAGAATGAAAGAAGATATGGCGCTTGTGATTTCTGGTTTGGCTAACGATTTAAGGTTTCTGGTTGGTGGAGAGAAAGCTGCAAAAGACAAGTATGCAGCTAAACAACGTCAGTCAAATGCTTCTGAAGATGGCATGTTTGCATTGGCTTGGGAGTGTGAATGCTTCCAGACTCTCACTAACATTAACAAAGACCTAAAGTCTTCAATTTCCAGCCTGCACTTAAGAATTTCAACAAACCAGAGAGATGGTAATATTGCTGGTGATCTCACTTCTTTACGCCAAAGGCTTCTTTCCTATGCTAAGGATCTTTTTTCCAAGCATAGAGAAGCTGCCTCTCATCTCATGGTGTTCATGATAGCCGATGAAAAACGCGACATGAAGCCCTATGCTGTTCCTGTACGATTTATACCTTACCACAGTGTGACTGACAATAAACTGCGTGAACTGTGTATGGAGCTACGGAGTGCCATGGTAAATTTGGGAATGCTTGTGGTTGGTGAGTTAAGATTTTTCTTTAATTGTCTCTGTTAACTACCTTAAGTTTATACAACAGAAAGGGGCTGCTCTGCTGCTTAAAAGCCACCTTTCTCAGACCAGACTGGCATAGCGCTGAGTATATTGGTACTTTTAGAGTGCATAGAGCCTGTTGAATTTTTAAATAATTGTCATTTTTTTTTTACTCAGCAACTGAATGGTGATTTGCATCTTCACCCGCCCACCCCCCCCACCTCCCAAAATTGTAATTTGAAATAAGCCAAACAACAATTTATTTATCTGATTTTTTGTTTGTTTTAGGCACTGTCACAGATGGAGAATTTAACTCCATCCGCACTATGGGATCAAAAAGAGCTATTTCCATAATTCAAGTGATGATGGATTCAAAGTCAGAGGCTAGAAGCACCAATGTTAATGCCATACGGAGGTATTTCACACCAGTTGCAGTCCCAGGTAACTTTTCTTTAACTGATGTTTTATCTATGCCAAAATCTGACCACTGGAAATTCTTCACTATCATATGTGTGTGTGTGTGTGTGTGTGTGTTTGTAGGTGGAAATGAAATTCAGGTTAAAATGATTTCAACCTAGATTGATTTGAATCTCCTTTGTTTCGAAGAGGCAATTCGCATGTATTTTAAAACCTTAACTTTTCTTCCTAACAGGTGCCAATGGGACATTTTCTGTAAGAGGTCAGGCTCAACACCCAGCCATTCCGGTTGAGGACATTGTATGGCTTTTATGACTTCATGAATGCTGATGGCAATCAAGTACCATTTGAAAGCGCCATCCACATTTTAAAACGGAAGCTGTTTCCTGCCAATTATGACCCTTATCCTTGGGATGCAAAAAGTATATGCTGTAGTTTGTAATATCTTTCTTGTTTTATGAGCACTATTACCCTCAAATGGTACGGCATGAAGTCCAACTACTAATTTAAAATTGCATATTAAATAACAAAATTTAAAAATGAAATTATTATTACATTAAATCTCTGCCTGTGCACGGGCTGTTATAGAGGATCAGTAGGGCCAGTTTATAGGCTACCCATGGCCTAAGGTGCCATGTACTGTCAATGTACCTTTCAGTTCTATTTATCATTTATTTTCAATTGTTTCTTTTCCTTTAAACAGTGGCTGAAGAGGATACCAAAGGTTGTCTTAAGTCTTTGATGGCAACATACTTGTTCCGCTACAAAATAAAACGAATGAAAGAAGAATTAAATGTGGACTTCAGCAAACACCTTTACCAGCCTGAATTGTGTGATGTCACTGGGGAATACATACATGAGAGAGAAGACCACAACCATGTTCTTAAACGTATCACTGAATGTCTTCGTGCAGGTGAAATCCCAGGGGTTGACACCCGCTACTTCAGAGATGCCCTGCATGATGCTCATTCAGGTTAATAACAATTATTTGTGTTGTGTGCGTAGTCTATTAAAGGCCCTTGTTCATCCAAAATGCAATGTGCGCCCAAGCTTATTTTTTGCACTGATGGAAAATCTAAAAATTAACGTTCCAGGCAATCATAATGCTACATTGAACAATTGAACCTGTTTTAAAACAAAAACACAAACACACACAGCAGATTGGGTGAACATGTACCTTTAATCATGATGTTTTGATAATAATGATTCATTTGACCCCCTCTGGGTTTAAATGAATTCTTGTATTCATACCTGTGTACTACAGGTATATTGATGACATAGAAAATGGCATTCTGACATTTCTTGCTTTGATTATTTTTTGATAGTTCGTGAAAGGGTTAATAGCCTTTTTTTTTTGTCTTTTCACATTATCCTTATATGAACTGATGTAATTCATTCTAATAATTACTATCCCTTTAACTCCCAAGGGTGCCAAAGAAAAAAAATTCAAGAAAAATACCAGATTTCATTTTGTAAAATATTGAAAAACTAATGTTTCCGTAAAAAATGTACTGCTGAAGAGGTTTCATTTGAATGGTCACACCATACGATTTTGTCCACAGACTCAAAAGTTAGAACTAGTGCTTTACATGTCTCCATAATTATTGACTGTGGAAGTGAAAGGGTTAATATTATTAATGTTCTTGTCATGACCATGACAACAAAATTGCTTTGACCTACCACATGTACATTTTTTTCTTTCACTGAAAATTTCTCCAAAATACAAAAGGAATTTGCTTACATACAAAATATGTAATTGAGCAGTATTTAAAAAAGGAATATCAAAAAGTTTTTGGAAGCCTCAGCAACGGCATTTTTTTTAAATACAGGTTTAACTTATGAGGCTTTAACTGGAAAACAGAAACAGTCAGTACCACATTGTGAACAGGTGTTTTCAAAGGGTGTACTGGAGTTCATGCAAAGGAATGGCCATACTTCAGAGGCACACTTTGTTGAAACTGTTCGAAACTGGCATAAGGCGGCAGATGGACGGGGACTATCAGAGGAAACACGGTCAAAGTATAACAATGACATGATCAATTTTCTGTTGACTGATTGGATGCCCTGGCATGAGTACGAAAGGGACTTTTCAACTATTGATGTCATGCGCCCTATAAAGGGTATTAAAGGTTTCACTAGAGAAATTGTGGTTGCTTTGATTGCGAACTGTGAAAGCCTTGAACTCCGTCGAGCAGAGTATCAAGAGAGAGGTTTGCCCCCGGAGCACCCACGTGCAAGCAGCACAGATGACGTTGAAGGCTTCATTGCACATCTCCATGATCAACTTGGAGATGTGTTTGACCACAAGGAATTTTTAGAACAGCAACCCAAAATTCTAAATGAGTTTACCAAGAAGATAGACCCAGAGCTTCAATTTTACTACTGGACAGGACACCGACATCGATTCACAACTGCCCCACTGCCTTCCTTCAATGATGCATCAGGTCAAACAGAAAGATTGGACAGGGTTAGGTTGTCAAGACGTTCTGATCCAGGGGTTTTTGTGGCAAATAGGGCATCCTTGCCACAAAGAAATTCTCTGACAGTCAGGGCTTCATTTCACAGAGCACCAGAACAATTACCTCCACCACCAACAGTGTAGCATAAGTTTATTAACTTATAGTTTTGCATATTGATGTTAGCCTTAGTAAACTAAAATTGGGACAAAGATAATGCACTTTTCTAACTTATTTACATTTACACGTGTAAAGTTTTACTGGACTTTTCTTGAGGCCCTGACAACTTTGGAGCTCCAGGGTCCCTTTTTAGTGATATTTAAGGTTACATAAAAGCCAACTAACAAGTAGTTTACTCTAAAGCGAATGCGTGCAACAGTTACTTTGATGTTGTTTCTTTCAATGATAGGGTGTATGTCACTTGTTAACTCTTTGGCAATGTAACCAACTTTGTTCCAACCACTACCACAGTTTATTAATACGGCTATTGCATTTTGGTCATAATCATTTTCAGGCTCTGGTTGGAGCTGCGCTTGTACATCTTTGTTATTTTCCAAACACTCGTATGCATTTTTAAGGGTAATTTGTCGTCCTTTATATGCAGTACCAAGTACTTTGAAAGGAACAGTATGCTCAATTTCTGAAGAATCGTTCTCCTCATTTGAATCATCAGAATCATCAGCATTAACAATTGAATGATCCTCCGGCTCTACTGGTTCAGACCGTCTAAATTCCCAAATGACCAAATATGTGATGTTTTCAACCACAATGTTACACCATTTTTGAGCAATGATTTCATCTCCACATTTTGTCCGTCCACTGTCATCAGCTTGAATAGCGCAGGCCACCCTGTCCTTCTACCAGTTATAGAAACAGTTCCTTTTACAAATTCTATCGTCAGAACAGGGAATGACGGAATAGTCCACTCAATGTTATCTTGTCCAAGACTTGAAACTGTTAATGCCAGGTCTCTAGGCTGCCACAAACCCTTCTACAGAAAAAAAAAATGTTGTAATAAAAAGCATCCTTATAGAGTACTAAAGTGATGACGTCATAAAAATGAAATTTCTGAAATTATGGGATTTGTCAGGATATTCTGAAAAGAACAATGTCCAAGAGACCTACTTGCCAAAAATGAGCATTTTGGGGCAAATTGTCTCTGAGATCGTAGCCCAGTTATACTCAGAAAACTCCCTACAAACCCCCTCTAATTTTTTCTTGGGTCGACCCAAAAAATATTTAGAAGGGTTTGTATGGAATTTTGTAAGCATAACTAGGCTACGATCTCAGAGACAATTTGCCCCCAAATGCTCATTTTTGGCAAGTAGGCCTCTTGGACATTGTTCTTTCAGAATACCCTGACAAATCCCCTAATTTCAGAAATTTCATTTTTATGACGTCACACCTTAGTACTCTATTTCATGCTGTATAAGTATTAGTATAAATTATGTAACTAAGTGCACTGCATGTGAATAGCTGTGATGAGCAAGCTTGTTTAGTATATTTCAATTAATAATGGTGTCCTTAGTTATTTTTTGTCTTTCTTCAGTTCTTTTTGGATTAAAGGAATGAAGAAGGAAGCATTTTCTTGAGAATTAGTTATTTGTCACATTCATGTGGGATGAACTGAAAAAAGGCCAATGTTATAGCACATTTTTATTCCACAATAGAAACTAAATGATTGTAAATAAGCCACTTCTAAAAACAACACATGGTCAAGAGTTTAGAAGGTCACTTGAGACTTCTCAGTATTTTATCTGTAATGTTTAAGTTAAAAGTTTTTCTGAATAAAAATAGTTTAAAGATGTGATGCATACTCCGCTTTATCAGTTAATAAAATAGAAAGAATAAATTAGTTGTTAGCATATAATTTACCTTGATGGGAAGTGCAAAGGTATTCCTGATAGTTGTGCTCTCCTGGGATCAACATTACCCACAGCAAGGTTAACTGCATACTCATTTGAGAGAAGGCTAATATGATATTAAGTAATCAACAAAACACAATAAATGGATTATTTTCTATCTTTGAAAAGCTAGTTTTTTAAAATGCATAAAATGATTTTCAAAAGACCGTGAAACAGTTACTAAGTTAGTAGGCACTAGTACACACTATTAGACATTAATTCCATGTTTTCTTTCTTTCATTGTTTTCATTGTTTTAGCTAATTTTGGCTAATTTTGATTAATTGCTAGATACTGTTTCACGGTCTCATGAAAATCACTCTAATGAAACTGTACAACAACTGACTATCTGATTTTACACAGTTTTCAGCACACCATCAATTCAAATCCAATTATTGTAAATTATTCCATGTGAATGCCATACAGCAAAAATTCTCAGGCTACTTTTTAAATACTTAATTTCGTTTATGAAAATATTTTTTTTTAGAATAAGAAATTCTTTTAGAATAAGAAATTCTCTCGCCCAGACAATCATAGCAGATAAAAACAGTGAGCAAGAGCACTTATAGTGAGTAATTATAATTACTTAAATTGGATACATTCCACAAGGGTTCAGAAAAGCTTCCTTATCTGGTGTTTGTCCCCAAGGCGTAAGTGGCATGGTTTCTGCATTTATAGGATTAATCACTGTCTGGTGACGAAATATTGCCTTGGCCCTTTGAAATCCACTACTGTAGTCTGACGGGGCAAATCGATTTCTCTGTAAAACAGCTAAGAAATCTGTTTTTCTTTTGTCACGAGCTTGTGGGCAGTATGGATACCAATGCCACGTACATTTTCTAAGTAGTCACAACCTGCAACAATGCACATGTCCAGGAATTCTTCCTGTGTCAGTGACAAATGTTGCAACACCTTTCCTAACTCGATTACTTCACACACACCATCGAGTCGCAACTTGAACAAAACCTATAGATAGATAGGGAAATTAGGGGTGTTCAGGGAAAACCCTTCCTTATTTTTATTCATGGTCTTTTGTGTTCAACGGAGAAAACCAAAGGTAATAGTAATAATAGTATATGCATTTATATTGCACAGGCTTCATGAGTATACCTGTATGATCGCCTGCGCAAAACATTGAGTTCATAAAAATAAAAATGTATACAATTTATAACTAATTCTAAGTGCTACTAATTTCAAATTGATACTTGTACAAATTAATAAAATTGTATAATCGAAAAAAAGAACCTAATGACAATAAAAAGAATAAGAAAATGATTAAAAATTACAGAAAGCCTCTAAATTTTTTTTCAGTAAAACCTTTAAAGTGTTCAGAGATCTGCTGCTATTTGCAATTGGGTTCTAGTTTATGAAATTAATAGTTACGATATAAAAAGGACTAAAACTATAAGCTTATAGTTCATTCTGTTGAAAATCAAGTAAACACAGCCAGGCTTTGAATAAGCATTTGGATGATAAATTGTATGGGTTATTCAATGTACCTTTTGGCATCCATAAGCAAGAAGGTCGGAATCCTCTGAGATTGCAATATCTACATAGCCATGCTCATAAAGTAATGCTATCTCTGCATCAGCCTCGTACGGAGCTACCACATAATCAATAGACTTTTGTCGGCAAGTCTATAAATGAAAAGAATAAAAATTATCTTAACGAGGTCATTCAATTTTTAATTAAAAACAATACAATATTTAATTATTAAGAAGTCTAGAAAAAAAATGTATTTTAAGCTTACTGAAATGATAAACTTTATGCCAAAATTGAGACTTAGACTTACTTGAATAAACCCACAGACGAGATCGTGGTTAATTTCTGCAGCTGCAGCCAAAGCGTTTCTTGCCTCAGTCACCTTTCCACTGCGCCGAAGTTGGTCAGCTTTTTGCTGTTGTTGTTTTCTTTGCCTAAAGGAAGAAGATTTATGGGAGATCAATGTCTGCTGAAAAAAAATCATTTCTACTAAAGAAAATTAGACAAAAGGCTTAAATATTTGAACTGAGCTTCAACTGTCAATGCAAAAAAAATTCTCTCACATTGCTCTGTTATCACGCTCTCTGTCCTTGCCCGGTAGCGGCAATCCGTCGAACACGACCAACGGTCGAATTTTATTCCTTTCCAGTAGATCCAGATAAGAATTGCAGATCTCCTTCACTCTAAGAAGTAAAAACATTAGTTAAAATGCAATACAAATTAAGACATAGTAAAACTTTCATATTAAAAGTTCTCACCTTCGATCGTCTCCGAATTGCGAATAACTGATCGCAATGGCCTTGTGTAACCAACAAGACGCATCTACGGCCGCCACGAGACCTTTAAAACTGTCTAAATAGCTGTTTTCAGTGACGTCTTTCAGAAAAGGAAGCAAGGTTTTAATTCCCATTCTATTGTCTCTGTATGTGCCAAGAGCTCGCTGAGATGTTCACTCGCTGGTGTCAAGCGGGAAATGAGCGCCGCCACATTTTTACCACATTTTTACCCATCACGTATTGCGGGTCGTGACGCACACCGCCTGCCAATGGACAGAGAGCTGGATTCTTTATAGGGGATGGTGCTGGTGTTGGAAAAGGAAGACAAGTGAGTATATTTCGTATATGTACAATTTCATGCTGTTACTACATGGTCAATGAACTGTTACTTTACTGTTACAATAATCAAGAATGATGGCCATTTTCACTGGGTTGCAAACTTACCTCATTTTCATGATTGCAAAAGCACTTGCCTCGTTTTCATTTTAAAACCATTGTGTTTTCCATTGCCTCAACCATGTGAAACCACTCAAGATCTGGAGTTGCTATGGCATTTTATTAATCTTTGATCACTTGGTAGGGTTTGACAGTTGGTACAAGCGTGCAAAAGAACATACATGGTTGATCATAAAACCTTGAAAAGTTCTTAATTCTACTACTACTGTCATCTTGAAAAGTCCTTTAATTTGGTTTAGGTCCTTGAAAAGTACTTGATTTCTCTATTAGGTCATAAAAAGTCCTTGAAATTCAAAACCTTGTCTACACCAGACACCTTTTTCTGTAAAATGAGGTTATTTTGCCGAGGAAAATTTGGCTCATCCTTGGTGTAAGAATTAACCTGTAAAACTCACAGGTAACTATGCTTAATTTCTGCACCTCAGATGCAATCGCTTGTCATACCCAGTCATTTTGCAAAGTCTTGTTATGGAAAGGAGTATAAAATAATGTGATCAATGACATGGCCAAAGAAGTCAAAATCGTAAATG